GGGGGGGGGGGGGGGGGGGGGGGGGGGGGGGGGGGGGGGGGGGGACAAGCTCTCCTGAGCTTCATGGTTTTTTGGAACTCAAAGCGAGAGTCCTCTTGGGGGGGGGGGCGTAATGGCTGATGGGTTGTATATATGCATGGATCAGGGATGGAGGTAGGGAGGAGGATCTACTGATAGATAGGTATGGGTGTTTTTCGAGGCGTCAGGATGGGAACATGGCATTGGATATGATTTGGAACTGATAGAAGGACTCGGATATACCAACGGGAGTTTTAGATATACGGTGACCGAGGCGATGAGCCATTCTGGTCAGGGGGGGTCGGGCACACGAGGAGCTTGATATATATTCCTCTGACACCTTGAAGGTGTCCAAATAATATCAGATCTACTGTATCACAGAGAACTTGTACTACCACAGAGACCAGACTGTAACATGATACCTAGCATTCCTGAGGTCTTTGTCGGTACATCAACCAGTGATTTCCAACCGCACCAACCCGCTCCTCCCGAACATGGACCTGGTCTCGTACGTCTCGCACCATCCCCTGCCAGGCGAGACCATGACGGCCGACTCGTTCGCCGTGTGTCGCCCCCGGCGGCAAGGGCGGGGGCGGGGAGTTTGACTGCGCGGCGGCGGTGCGCAAGGCGAACCGGCGCGGCGGCCAGGACGGTGTCGAGGAAAGGGGGGCGCAGGTGTCGATCCCGTGGAGGGATGAGGTGTGAAAGGTGGTGGTGATTTCAGGGCTTGTGGGTGCTTGCACAGGGATCGGAAGAGAGACGGGGGATTTGTCACGATGGCTTTTTTGTATTTGTATGGCGATAGTAGAAAAGGAAAGGAAACTACTACTACCTAACCTCACTCAAGAATAGAGGAGAATCCCCTTGTGGCTCAACCTCTTTTTTCAATTCATACTTTTCTCATCTTGTCTTCTGGGTGTACATTTGAACCCTCTCTTGCAGTGAGATTCTATTCATAATCGTTTCCCTTCGCCTCTACGGCTCGGCGTACGGGGGCGGGATGAAGTGGTAGCCGTCAAACCTCACCGTCTTGAGGCCCCGGAGGGTGTCGTGGTCGACGTTGTCAAAGACGCGCACGTTGACGGGCCGCCTGTCGATCCAGGCGGCCCGGTACTGGCGCGCGCCCTCGGGCAGGGCGGCGACCTCGGCGTCGGCCAGCTCGTTGAGGTCGTTCATGAGGGTCACGCCGCACGTCTTGCACGACACCCGCTTGAAGACCCGGGGTCCGCAGGCGTAGGTGCTCGCGTGCTCGCGGCCCCGGAGGACCACCTCGTCCTTGTTCGGGTAGATCCACATGAAGCCGCCCTGGTCGACGACGGGGATCGTCTGGTGTCAGCATCTCTCTCTCTCTCTCTCTCTCTCTCTCTCTCTCTCTCTTTTGACTCTTATGTTTCTCTGGCAGCCCCCCAGTCGCCGTGTTTCTCGGCTCTCGAGGGCGGGGGAGGGGGGCAAACCAGGAAAAAGGGGGGGGGAGACAGCAGGACGGAAGGACTTACCCGCTGGTCGACGCTGCAGTTGCACTCGCAGATGCGGTCGGCCTCGTCCTCGTTGTTGCGCTTCTCGAGCGGGTTGACCCGCGCGGCGATGGTGACCTTGCCGCAGTGGCAGCTGCCGTGGTACAGCTTGCCGTCCTTGGGCCCGCCGGCGGGCTCCGGGCCGGAGTACTCGCGCGGGGTCCAGGCCGGGGGGATGGCGGAGCCGTCGAACCTGTTGTGAGACGAGGTCGGAGTTTTGAGTATTCTCTCTTCTGGACTCTCTCCGTCTCGGCACCCTTTCGTTGCCGGGGGGGGGGGGGGGGGGGGGGGGGG